GTTAAATCGATATTGAATCATTCGATACTTACATAGTTAGCACTAACTACATAGACTACCATAGAGCTTCGATCAATAGATTACCGGACTCTTTAAGCATAGCTAATCTAGAAACAACATGGGAAACGCATTACAACTAAGTATAATGTCAATAAGAACGGCCTTTGCTGCTTACGTCACAAAGACGTGGCGGTAAGAAAGAATCAGATGAGGTCGAATAAGACCGCACTATATTAAAGTTATTGAACTATGGACCTTATATAATGTAACTAGGTAATTAAAGTCAGTTTTTTGCTATTAAACTTTATCTCTTTAAAAATAGAGTTGATTATTTCATTTCAACGTCGATTTTAATAGTTAGTCCAATTCCATGGTGTGTTTGGCGATTTAATTCATCACGTGCGCAATGCCAGACTGTTGCTTAATTAATTTATTATATCAGACCTTCATGTTAAGCCTTATTTTCTGTGATCTGCGTGTACTTATATCTAATAATAATATAATATAGAGTAATTGGGTAGTTTCCAGGGTACCAAAATTAAAAATCTAATTAGTCCGTCGGTTAGATAATGAAAAAATATTAGATACGTATTTCTTTATTTTCTCGTATTAAGTTGCAATACTTACTTAGATAAAATGGCGCTAAGTTTAGGAGTTGAGGGTCGTTACGTCATAATGTGCTACAAAATGTGGCACGCTGTGACGTCACAAGATATTTCAAATTAATATATCGTCGAAAGTATTTAATTCTGTGAGAAAAGAAAAAATACGTGTCTAAAGTTTTAAATTAATTTACCAAACGAACATTAAAATAAAATTTAAGAAACTACCCTATTGCTGTCACCGTGCCAATCAAAGTTCGAAATCGATAGAGTGCAAATCTTTTGATAGTTAGTGGACGTAATTTTAGAAGTCGCGGCATAAAAATTTCTTAAGTTGTTATAACTAGACGATATTACTGGGCTAGGATCTAACCTAGAATCTCGCAGTCAATAGTGATCTAACTAGTTAGGAAGTTGTGACAAGTAACTTTTGAGGTTTTTTAAGATACATAAGTATGGAAGGTTTTAAAAATAAAATTAGATTGTTTTTGGTCGGTTAAATTGCCAAAGAATCGAATGGTTTATTTCAATATCGTGAATGTTTCGGCGCTTTACGTTACGCGCGATTAGAAGTAAGCTTGTTAAAAAAATTGTATAGGCACTGCAATGTACAATACATATGTATTGTATAATGAATGTTATCGTGTTTTGAGGAAAAACTAATGTCTAATAATAATAAGTATAGGTAGGCACCTAGTTAAGAAAATTAACGCAGAAATAAATTCCAACAATATGTGCCTGTTTCACAATGTCTAATGAGTACTGTTAGCTTAATTGACATATTATTATTAACTAGGTATGACGATCCATAGAAATAAAATATTTTGTATTGTTAACAACAGCAACTTTATCAGTAAATATTGTAAAATAGACCTTAGGAACAAAAAACAAGTGTCTCTTAGTTAGTTACTTTTCATTTGTTTATAATTACCTACTTACATTGACATAACAAAGTGTAGCAAATACAGATAATATAGGAGAGCGGCCATTTCTGCACATGGGAAAAATTTAAATTAAATTATAGTGCAATCACTTCAATGGGCACATCCTCAAGACAATAGGTACACTTGTGGAGGTCATATCAATATTAGAGTGCTAAACTGCACACATTGGCAACAAGCATAGACTAGAGGATTTCTGGATAAAATACTTTTTTGTTGTTTCTACGTTTGTTTATGGTTAATTTAAGATGGAGGGTGGTGTTACAATGGCAAGACCGTACTTTTTTAATATAGGGACTTTAATTAAGGCATTGGCTGCCAATAAAAAACTGTTGAAGGCAAATCCTCCGCTAATGTCGGTCACCGGTGACTGCCATGGCGTTTAACGTGTTAACAATATAATATTTTGATGAATTTAGTTGTTCAATGACATTTGGGTGTAATTAAATAGAAAATATGTTATTTATCATAATAAATTAACTAACCAATTTAATTACCACTTTATAATTACCACTTTGTAATTTCTATTTTTATTACTCAAATAAAAAATTAACTGGGTAGTAAAATAATTGTATTTCTATTAAATAGTGGATAAATTAGATTTATTATTAATAACAAAAAATTATTTAATTATGTGTTTAACATTATATGCCTTCAATACAATAACCAATAAAAAATATTTTTGTAAGGAAATATTTTGATTAATGCGCAACTGCGTAAAAAGCTTTTATCAGTGAATTCTGTATCTTTATAATAATATAATGTACAGTACATATTGCATTTATTTCATATCTTTATTGCTACTCTGGACTATATAAACTACAGATTTTTATTGGTTGAATGAGCTAATCTGCGGAACTAGTGGTCCGAATAAAAGAAATGTTTTTGTGTTGGATAGTACATTAATTGAGGAAGTCCATTGGACATAAAACATTTGGCTACAACCTATAGGAGTCAAGCAGAAGGCGAAATGGTGCAGGAGGAGCTAGAATAGCTAATAAGCTAATATAGTTGAACTGAATAATTTTGTAACTAAGTCTTATGAATCATGATATTTTTTAACCCGTTGAAATTCATCCCCAAAATTTGTTCATACAAAAAGTAGTCAATAAGGTCTATAATGTAGTTAGTGGAGAGCGGATACGGGTGACCGCTTAGGGATATATGGGTTAATGTTACTATTAGTTCTTAATAATATGTAGGTAAATTGGAAGATTAGACATGAATTGTCATGAGTATGAAATTAAAAAAAATAATTAAAAAGTAAGTTGCTATGCCAACTGTAAGCTATGTAGGTACTCATGTACCTAGTTGGAAATTGGCACTAATTCAGGAAAAATAAAGACTGTTCGTTTTTATGGATATTCATCTCAATCTGAAGTAAGCAATATAAAACTTGGAAGTTAATAAATCATGTGAATGTTTATGCCTTTTTTCAAGGTTTAATGCTAATATAAAACTACGTATAACTTTCCATGCTTCACACACGGATCGTATTCATTGTGCTCATGTGTTGCAAATCACTAACAACTTACTGAAGAAAATGTTATACTAAACAAAAACAATATAGCTACGTAAGAACTTATAGGAAAACAGGTTTCTTTAAATAGTAGTAATGTTAGAAACGCATTTTTTACAATAACAGTCCATATATAAATATTTCTTAACATGCTCCTTACCTTGTTTTCAGTCAATTCAAAATTCCCAAACAGGTTGCGCCAAAAATCAAAACGATACACAGAAAAAACAAGTCTCCGAAGAAAAAACACGGCCCACACGGTTTAGATAAATTTCACCGTCGGCTTCAGTAAACACACGTTGCAACAGTTATTATGACACGGTTATAAAATTACTTATTACACAATGTGATAATAATTAACGGGTGAAAGTGCGAAAATTAGAAATATTGTCAATGCGGAAAACACACACTGAGCAGTCACTGACTACCGCAAACCGCAATATCAAACTGACATATGCCAAGAAAAAAACGAGACTGTGTTGCACGCTCGCGGTAGTAAATACCTTTGTGGGAAAATCCTAATCAGTGCAAAATCATCTGATTTCATCATATTGGTAAAATCGCGGATTTGAGGTAACGTTTATATTTATCGACAAGGAAAGTCAATGAAAGCATGTAATAATTATAAATTTTATTACTTCAATTGCGATACAAAGAGGGAAACTGGTTATGATATAGTACAATTTTTTATATGGTTTACACAAAATAAATTTTTCCCTGACTCAAGGAAAACTTAAAAGAGTGGCAACACAATTTGATACGTTCCATTTCACACAAAATATTTTATTAAAACAATATATTTTGGATTCATTTATGTTAAAATCGATAAACTTGTATTTTATTTTTACAATAAAATTAAGAATCACTATAAAATGTTAAACATTTATAGCAATTTGACAATCCGATTATTGTTTAGAGCGACATCTATCGTATAATACAAGAAATACGACAACAGATAGGAAAAACGTGGACCAAACAAAGTCCTGTTCTCACAACACTGGACCTCTCATTCTCTTGATCATAGAGTAACTTGTAACATAGGGCTCTTGTTAATCATAATTATTCTCATCATGTCTAGTATCTATATCTACAAGACTTTTTACTGTTATTAACAATTTTTATTTTTATCTCAGAAATTCAAATTATGAACAAAAAGTTTATAATATATACTTACGTCTACCTTCTTATCATCTCAAGATCTTTAATTAGTTTTCTCATTTTCTCTTTATTGTAATTAACTAATTATCTATCTAATAATGATTAAATATGTTTATATTGTAACTTAAGTGAGACATAATAAATTATTGTTTTTCGTAAAGAGTAGAAGCGCGTGAGCATTCCTTGCATCGTCGTATGTCGCGAAATACTGCACAATAGTCTGCTCCGCAAGATGCGCCTGCCCTAGAGTGACGGCGCGGTGGCGCTAAAACAAATTAGGAGCGCCTATGAAGTGCTCACTTATGGCGCTCTTTACATTTAACTCGCGTCGCATCAATAATTAGGATTTATGAAAACTTTTACCCCATTTAAGGTTTAGAGCAGTAATATTGTCACCCCTTGGGTTAATTTCAACGACAATATGCGTGCAAAGATGACGGAAATACGTAGCCAAGACATAATATTCCAAGTTGGAGAGGCCGTCTTCTTTGTATCTTTCCACAGCTCTGCTGAGGAGGTGGTGCCTGAAATGATAAATACCTATTTTAATAGAATATTCAATTCCCAAGGAATACATACATAAAAATATTCTAATTTAGTTATAGAGAGTAACTCAACACAAATTAACCATCTGTACGTGTACATTAGGGGGCGTCCATAAATTACGTGAGATGATAAAGGGGGGGAGGGGGTAGATTAAAATCTCATCTTATCTTACGTTAGAGAGAGAGGGGTCTCGGCAAAAAAATTAGACTATTTTAGCCCATTTAATCCAAACTGTACATGCTCAAGATTAAATTGTACACGCATTTGTGTCATTTATAGGTACGTGTAGTATTCTAGTGTTACAATTTTATTACATTGATTACTAGTCTTAACTAGTCGTAAATAAAAACACGGAGCAATTGTTTTTTCTTTTTACAATAACAATCCAATGCGTTTACGTGAAGAAACAACATTTTGAAAAATCTCACGTGAGATTGATGGGGGAGGGTGTTGAATAAAATCTCACCAGGAGGGAGGGAGTAACAGAAAATTTAAAAAAAACCTCACGTAATTTATGGTCTATACCTAGATACTTCATACTTGAAATTTGATACATCAGTACCTATAATGATAAAATATAATCAGTATACTGTCTTTACCGTAAGGGCACACGGAGCCCGTCCCCAGCGGCAGTGCCCCATGCCCCCCTATCCTCAGGGGGCCCAGAAGCACCGACAATTTCTACGACTGACACACACCCGGGTTCGATTTCCGCACGGAGCAAATCTTCGTTTGATCCAAAAATGGTTGTTTCGGGTCTGGGTGTCATGTGTATGTGAACTTCTGTGTTTGTAAACGCACCCACGATACAGGAGGAAATCCTAGTGTGGGCCAACGTTAAAAAAAAGAAACGTTCCACAAGGGCCCCGAATTATTACGTGCTCAAGAGCCCCAGCGTAGTCTTATGACTGTCCTGATTAAACCCAGGGTCTCTTCTCGCGGATGTCGTGCGAGCCAATTAAAAGCACTTCATATTTGACAAAGGCCGGGCAGCAGGGGTAGTAGCAGACTAAACACCACCCCGTTCCTTCTTCTGCGCTTCGACCCGGAGCCCCGGTAACCCGTTAGGTTCTCAGCGACAGGAGTTGGGGCTAAAACGTCATTTCTACGTATAAAATGTACATAGAAGTGACGTCACGCGACATTTCAAATCAATATAAAATCTTAGAAAACTATTCGTTTCCGTAAGAAAATAAAAAATACGGGTCTGATGTTTTTAAATAATCTACCAGACGGACATTAAAATAAAAATTAGTCATCTACCCTATTACATACAAACGCAATCATTATTATTAGGTCTCTGTTAGCACATAAATACCTAATTCAATTAGTGTTTGACACAATCGAATGCCATCCCCTACTAATTAACAGTAGATATTAATTTAATTCAGAGAGGAATATCTCACGTATTCTGCGGTACACCTATCAAATACCTAAGTTTAATGTAACTAATATTAGGTAAATACCGTAAATATTATTCACAGGTCACATGTAACACATACATTTGCTACCAACCTAATGAATATTGTTTTCAATTCTTCAAAAAATTGCTCAGTTGTCACTTAGTAGTGTAGGACAATAGGGTATAGATGACTAATTTTTGTTCTAATGTCCGTCTGATAGATTATTTTAAAACATTAGACCCGTATTTCTTTACAGAAACGAATACTTTCGTCGATATATTGATTTGAAATGTCGCGTGACGTCACTTCTATGTACATGTTATATGTAGAAATGACGTTTTAACCCCCACTCCGAAACTTTGATTTGTTATATCTATATATCATTTTATTATACAATAAAATAAAAAAATATGTGTCATATATTTTTTCATTACATAACTGACGGACATATTAGATTTTTAATTTTCATACCCTGTCATCATCCGTGACAACTTGAAAAGTGAGTGTTACATAAAAAATGTTGTCTACCTCCACTTCACCTTTGATTTGATATTTTTTTTACTTTTTTTAAAAATAAAACTTTGGAGGATTAGGATTTTCTCTTGTGTCGTGGGTGCGTTTACAAAGATACATGTTCACATACACAATGGCATCCAGACCCGAAACAACAATTTGTGGATCACACAAAGTGTTGTTCCGTGCGGGAATTGAACCTTTGGGATCATAAGTCGTGACAATATTGTATTTGTATGTTTATTAAGCCATAGAAAATTACCTGTAAGGATTGGCTGGTTCTCTTTTATGCGGCAACACGAGGTACACTCCCACAGTCTTTTGATATCTCACCACGGGGTACCCGGCAGCATGAAGTCTGGAATATGGAAGACCTGTCACTCAGGAGCGTTTGTACGTGCAAAAGAAACCCTAAACATCAGGAATTAATGGCGGAATTCGAAGAAAGTAATTCTAATTATAAAATTTTATTACTTTTAAACAATTAAAAGCATTTTACACTTGTCATATACGAAACCGACTGGTGATGGTGATGACGACGAATTTAGAGCCCTAAGTTTCAAATGTCTAAGTTATTGTTGTCTTCTCACCTCCAGAACATATCATTGTCCTCTGCCCCCCATCCAAAGTATAAGTTGGAGAAACCATTGGCCCTCTCAAACTGTTCCATAGTCATTGAGACCACACCACCGAATAGGGATTTATATGAGTATGTTATACTGGAAATGTAGAAAAATTATTATTGAAATCGATTGTTTTAACATCAGATTTTTTATCTATTTAACAATCGCGAAGTTACTATTAGACTGGTTCTGGTACTATATTTCATAGTGAAAAAACCAAATTATCCGCTATTTCAATTAATTCAGTAACTAAATTTTGTGTGATCCACAAATTGTTGTTTCGGGTCTGGGTGTCATTGTGTATGTGAACTTGTATGTTTGTAAACGCACCCACGACACAGGAGAAAATCCTAGTGTGGGGCAACGTTTTATTTAAAAAAAAAAAAAAAAAAAAAAAAATCAGACCTCAGATATAGAAATGAATGGGGCCTCAGTCTTTCTCAGGTTTCAGAAACTTACTTAAATTTCCTTCGAATGTCGGTGTCATTAACGTGGGCACACATATGCCTGGGTAAAGTCGGGCAATTATACATAATGTTCTCGTCAAGAGGCAGCAAGTCCAAGTCATGGAATATGACGCAAAAAAACTTGTTAAACTTTATCATTTCTTTATATCCTGCGTTGAATAGGCGACCTTTGTTGAATGGGCCGTTACCTGTAAAATTTTAAGAATAGTTTACACAATGAATGTATTTGTCTAATTAAACATTAAGGCCTAGTGCCGACTGCCGGGCAAAGGGTCTCGGGTTTGATTCCCGGGTCGGGGAAAGTATTACTGGGTTTTTTTTAAATATCTCAGTAGTAGCACGAAGTCTGGAATTGTGCCCGGTATATGGCAATAGGCTCACCCCCTATTACATGGGACGCATAACATAAATAGTGAAAAGTGGGTGTTATATTGGCATTAAGTGCCGTAATTTGCAACTTTGCCCACTCCTTCGGGGATAAAGGCGTGATGTTATGATGTTATGTTATGCCTAGTGCCAATTTTCTTTTTTACATTTTGCGGTTTTAGCCTTCTGATTAATTGATTAATTGGAGCAGGCCAATTCAGAGCGCCGAAAGTCATAAACGCGTCGGTCGTATTAACAAAAATCAAACGCACACTGCCTTCAGAGGCTCATTCGGAACGAGAACTCATTCGGCACTCTGATTGGCCGGCGCCAATGAAGCAACCAATCAGAGCGCCGAACGCGTACTCGTTACGATTAATTTAAACGTAATACAAACTCGTACTAAGGCCTCCAACTATCTATAGGCCATATTTATTTGATTGTTAGTTAGTATCGTGAATCGTGGTATGTAGCTCACCATTTTGCTCGATGACAAATATTTGATATTCAAGCTTCTGACGCATCAAAAACGGATGGATGTTGTTTAAGAAAATACCCAGATTTTGTTCTCGGTTCCTGAAAACCAACGCTACATTCATTTGTCTTATATTAATAATAATAATGAAGTTGGCTTCATTCGTTTAAGATTTTATAGCACTTATTTTACTACTAACACAATAGTGGGTCTTCGGGCGGCGCTGACTGCTCAGCATCAGATGATCCATCTGCTATTTTGCCAGCCTATACCAAAAAAATAAATAATAATGACTATACCTACCTGTAAGGCACAATGATCCCGACTCTGAATCTATTCCTACAAGTCGGTGGATGATAGAAACCTCCTTTTAGAACACCGGGGAAAATATTCTCCTGAGATATATTCACACTGGTCAGATTTAAAGGAAATTTTGCTGAAACACAAGGAAATATAACTTTACAACATAACATTGATTATTTCAGATAGAAGACAGAGATAGGATTTTTTAAAGAAAAAAAATGATCGAATTACTTCTTCCACCTGGGTGAGGCGGGAGAAGTCGGTCCCCTATACTGACTAAGAACCACCCTGTTTCAGTGTTTCTACTCCTGCACTTCGAACCGGAGTCCCGGTAACTTTTTACAATCTCAGCGGCTCCGTAAAGACAGAGATAGGATAGAGTTTGTATATATACATTGTTCGCCAGTTATCACTGTCATTAGTTTCATATTTTTTCCAGGTAGAGGAGAATAACCCTTAGGTTCAGGGGTAAAAGGCGTGATGTTATGTTATGTTATGCGAATACCTATTGGATTGGGTTCATCGGTTTTGAAACACTCCTAGTAATAACACACAGTCTAGAGTTACATCTACTATGCAGACCATTATTTTAACAATAGCACCCTCTTTTAAGTAGGTAATCATCTAAATGAGCGTCACTAGTTTAATCTAAGTTACCGACAGCACTACCTGTCATGTTGACGACGTCATCTGTCAAATGTGACAGATTAGAAAAAATCCCGCGCAAAGAGATGTATCGTGCTATTCTGGTGAGAATTTTGACGAGCATCACGCTGTATTCTTATAAGAATCCTTCTAGAAAAAATTTTCATTATTGAAGAATTGAGTTTTACCTAAAAGGTACCTACATAGAACTCATTCACATTATAGCTGGTGCGTCTTGGGAGTAAGTGGTGCAGTCGGCTGCGTCGAAGACCTTAGAAATTGGCACTCGTCAGAGGACAGTAAACCTTATTGTGTAAGGTATCATGTAAAGAATAGAAATCTAATAACCGAATAAAATACCTAATGCCTTCACTGATTCATTGTGCGGTCTTCTGCGAATACATAATGGTAGATCGTTGTATATTACTGATGAAGTCTCTGTAAAAGACAATAATAAAATATGATTACTTATTTATTTTTTTTATTTTTAAAAGCATTGCCCCACACTAGGATTTTCTCCTATGTATGGGTGCGTTTACAAACATACAAGTTCACAAACACACATCACTCAGATCCGAAACATCAATTTGTGGATAACACAAAGAGTTGTTCCGTGCGGGAATCGAACCCGCGACACGTTGCGCTGCAGCCAGTGGCCTCGTGCAGTTAATATTATTATTACATATATTTAGTACTACATGGTTTTATTAGTAATCAATCATTCTATTTAGACAACCATCAGTCGGGGCAAACAAATCAAACAAATTACGATTACGACAAATTGCGCTTGCTTGAAGCGTAAAAACAGTGGCGGATTAAACTGAAAGAGCGCCGTAGTCAAGCGCCTCAGAGGCGTCCTAAATTTTTCTGGAGTAGCGCCTCGCTGCAACTTGCCCAATTTTCTTTAACCCGTCGTGTGCCGAAACGTAGATATACGCGAGACACAATGCATTTTCTATTGTGTCTTATATACCGGCAGTCAAGCGGTTAAGGATAATACGGCCCTGACTGTATGTAGTACATACTACATGTATTGTACTATATAACTTACTAGTAGCGTTGGCATTGAAAGGCGTATCTATTGAGGATGTTGTAGGATTCTCGTCGTCTGTAACAATAGTAAAAAGAAACCTAATAATTCACTATAGAATCGGAAACATGATATAAGGAATATAATATAACTAGCTATATCCCCGCGGTTTCACACACTCTGCTCAGCTCCTATTGGTCGTAGCGTGATATTTTATAGCCTATTAATAGCCATCCTCGATAAATTCGCTATCCAACACAAAAAGAATTATACAAATCAGACTTATAGTTACGGAGATTAGCGCGTTCAAACAAACAAACAAAAAAACAAACTCTTCCGCTTTATAGAGGTATAATAGTAAGTATAAGTATAAGATAAGAGAAGTGCATAGTCGACTCAGGGCAGGCAAACAAGGCAGACTATCATTGGCTTGTATTCAGTCTTTCGAGAATTTTTAGTAGTAGCATGGAGTCTGGTTTATGCTATAGGCAATTATGACAAGGAACTCTTGATATAACTTATGAAAAGTGGATGGGACACCAACTTTTCACCAATTATGTCATGAATGTGTCTACGACTTTGCTTATGCCGTGAAATAAAAGGTGTATCGTTAATGGTGACGTCATACGGTCATACGTCAGTAGGCTGCGCGACATCGCCACGACCGCGCACACTGCTCATGAGGAAGAACCCCTCTGTGGTTCGAAACTAGTAGAGCTTTTCTCAATATATTCACGTGAGTAACCCGCGGTTTTTAGTTAATTTAGTATGTCTCACGATAGTTATTATAAAAACACGTCATACGTTGTTATGCAAAAACTATTATTGGGTTTATTTTATTCATTTTTACACTTACAGTTATTATTAGCCAGTTTCTGAGTCTTCCCATAGTAGATTTTGTCGATTTGTTTAGTTACAGCGAAATACAGCAGTGCAGCTGTTAGGCAGATGAGAAAGCCACAGGGTTTCCACCTCCATCGACGTCTCCGATTCTCTTTGACACAGTCCAAACATTCTTGAAGAGATAATTGGCGTTCTCGTCCTATAAATATCAAATTATAATACATCATCATCATCATCAACAGCCTATAAATCCCCACTGCTGAGCAAAGCCTCATCTCACACGGAGAAGGTTTGAGCATTAACCACCACGCTTGCTCAATGCGGGTTGGCGAATACAGACTTATAATTAGAAATTATAAGCCCAGGTTTCCTCACGATGTTTTCCTTCACCATTTGTCGGTGGTGTCTAGATAATCTTGGAAAGTACATACATATAATTAACTCGGAAAAAGTGGCATTGATACTTGCCGTTGATAGGTTTCGACCTCGCGCCCTCATGTATGAGAAGCGGGGCGTCTTAAATCTTCGGGTTACCACGACATATTGTATACATATATGTACCATCATATATATATCATATACATATTATACAGAGGAAAGATTTGTACCTATTTTTGTATGTTTGTATGTTTGTAATGAATAAGCTCAAAAAGTATTGTGCCGATTTAAAAAATTCTATCACCAATAGAAAGCTACATTCTTCCAATTTGAGATAGGCTACATCTCATTTTGAAACAAATTAGGTATCCTTGGTAAAATTTGAACAATGTAACCGAAGGTGTAGAAATGAGTCTTAAAATGTCTTTCGTCGAATGCGCTGCCGAAACTATTAGCGATAGAACAAAATAATGTACAACAATATTGAAGATCATCATAATGTCTACAAAAAACTCCGCGGTAGCATATGTCCAACTATTGTAGTTATGTCACTACAACAATCCAAATTTCCAAAAATAAATAATTGTCTACCCCGTGCGAAGCCGGGACGGGCTGCTAGTACTTAATAAAATAGAAAAGTAGTATAAAAAGTAGAAAAGTCAAAACTGTACATTAAATATTTTTTTAAAGAATACTTGGGGCGTGATCTATTGACGATACTAAACCCATAAATATGGTTATTAGATTTTTTGTCTGTTTGTCTGTGTGTATGTCCGGGATGATCTCAAAAAGTACTGCATGGATTTACTTCAAATTTTGTATGACTAACAGGTCGGGTCAACATATAGGCTACATATTATGACGCTATCGCCTACGGGGTAGGCGCAGTAAATTACTATTCCACGCGAACGAAGTCGCGGGCACAGCTAATGTTACTAATATTATAAATGCAAGAGTCTGTGTGTTTGTTTGTCACTCAATCACGTCAAAACTACTAAAGGAGTCTGAATGAAATTTGGGACGGGGGTAGATTATCGTCTGGGATGCATATGGGCTATTTTTTATCCTACGGGTACGTGGGCGAAGAAGAAAGTATACTAAGGGTCTGGGTGCTCAAAAGGTTCCCGACCATATTTCCAAGCAAGCGCTGGATTGGAATCCCAAGGGAAAAAGGAAGCGTGGCCGCCCTCGGCAAACCTGGCGTCGTACTGTGATAGCAGGAGCGGCGAGCATCGGAATAACGTGGAGCGAGGTGAAGCAAGAAGCTCAAGACCAATCGAGATGGAGAACCTCTGTGGACGCAAGACGCAAGTCAAGTAAGTTCATTAACGGGTTACCGGGGCTCCGGCTCGAGGTGCAGGAGTAGGAACGGGGTGGTTTATAGGCAGTAAGAGTCTGACACTACCTCACCCAGGCGGGAAAAGTAGTTTGATGAATTTCTCCCCTCAAGAAAATTGGTCTGGGTATCATGTAAGAAAGAAAGAAAGAAAATACATTTATTTGGCCATTGGCACACGAAGACAAGGATCATCACAATACAAATAAAAAATACAGTGAAAATAAAAACAAAACATTAATAATAGATTTTATGAAAGAGAAAAGAAATGAACAAAAATCATTAAAACATAACAAAATATAATTAGAATAATAACCGAAACTAAAAAAAAAATACTAAAAACAAAAAAAAACGTATAATTATATATATAAAACAAGGAAAGAAATATAAAAATAATAAAGTGCGCGTGCCCAGGCCAAAAGGGCGACCACCTCAGCATATAGTTGAGCGTTCCTGCCCAACGCTGGTTTTCAGGTGGCACCCTGCAGTGACTCACGGACGGCGGTACCGCCCCTCAATAAGGAAAAGAAAATAAATAATAAAAGATAATAAAATTATACAAACAAAACAAAATTCTGCAGAATATGTGTGTACATGTGCGTGAAAAATTGCGATCAGAATAATATATAGATATATGCGAATACAACAAAATATAAAAATGCAATTATAAGAGGTAAGTAGTCAACTTCCATTTTAATTTTTAACGGGCGGTTGTCACATATTTTTGGCTGCCAAATCAGACAGGTACTATTTTAGTGATAGCCTTGCTGAGCTCTAGTTCACTTTGACGCGTACCCACAGAGATACGGTTGGCTTCCACTGGCCACCGGACACAAAACCACGGCAGCACTGTTTACGAGTGGTCATAATTAAGAAAGAAACACGGTGAGCATGTGTATGTGAACTTGAATGTTGGTAAAAGCAGCCACGACACAGGAGAAAATAAAAGCGTGGGGCAACGATTTAAAAAAAAATATACTGTCTTCTTCATCTAACGCCATAAAATAACCCATGCACAGTTTTGGAATTCGTGCAACTATCGAGATATTTTTGAGTAACCAATGTGTGAGTTGGAACATCTTTGAAAAAATACTCACTAGAACAGCGTTGTGCAGAAACGACCTTGATAATCTTTCTCACTGGCACATAAGTGTTCATATTAAATCTTGAGCACACAATGACAAATGGACAGACATTATTCGTAAATATGCAATTTTCTAAACACATGAGGATGTGTACAAATAACTAGTTTGTCTATTGACAAACAGTCCTGTATATACAACTTCTTTCCTGAGACATCGCTTGCAAAAAAATACTTCAACCGTTAAACAATTAGGTACTTACTTAATGGTATTGTTATGATTATGATATATTTACAGAATTAAAGGTGTGAATGGATACAAAGAAGGGGTAAATACAAATTGGGAAACTGCACCAGTATACCCAATAACTTCTCCCGCCTTGGCTTAGGCGAGAGGGAGTGTCAGACTCACAGTGTTTTTGTAGTGGGAGAGCCATGCTTCGGCACGAATGGGCCGGCTCGACCGAAGTGATACCACGGCCTCACAGAAAACCAACGTGAAGCAACGCTTGCGTTGTGTCTCGTCGTGTGAGTGAGGTTACCGGAGGCCCAATTACCTTCCCCTTCCCCAATCTCCCCAATCCCTGAATCCCCAACGATCCTCAAACTCCTAATCCCCAAAAAGCTGGTGACGCACTTGTAACACTTCTGGTGTTCCAGGTGTCCATGGGCGACGCCGATTGCTTACCATCAGGTGATCCGTCTGCTCGTTTACCGGCTTATGCAATAAAAAAAAAAGACTTACTGACTAAAAACCACTGCGTTCCTATTCCTGCTCTTCGAGTCGGAGCCACGGCAACCCGTTAGGCCTGCCGCGGCTACGAATCCTATTTACCCCGGTTTACGTAAAGTACTTTTTAGTCCGGGACCTCGAAGGTGATGGTGTCACAATGGTCACGTGCTGTCGCGCACAGAGTCTCGAGAAACAAGTCTCTCTATGGATGTGCAGTAATCATAACACATAGAAATATTAACAAGCCAAGCATACGTCAAACTTCGGTCAACATTAACATCTTTTTTTAAATGAGACAAACCCGCCACAACCTCCCAAAACCGCTGCAACTCCTGTAAGTCAGGATCTACAGTAGATACAACTATGAAAACACCGGAACTGTACAGTGTAGTGAACTGTACACTACTTTTTATAGTTAATTGTTATGGAGTAAAGTACTCGTAGATAGTTAAGTTTGAAGTTGTGAGTGTAAACACTTCTAGAAGTCCCGAAAAGTTTATTTTTAAAGGTTACAATAAGATTGTTAGGTGATTCTCACAGTGGTACGTTCGGTAGCGAGTTGAAGTGCACACTGGTCTACAATTGAATGCCGCGACGGAATATCGTCCGATTTATGTATAGTCATCATAATAAAATAAGTTTAATTAACATAATTAGTGTACGTAAACCGTACAGGAACACTGAAGTTCGGCGCGTCCCAGGGACATGAATAACTGTCTTGGTTCCCGCAACGAAGTGAATCAGAAGATAATTATTATAAGAGGAAAAAAAAACGATAGTTTCCAAATCTGGCAACATCAACGTCGCTGCGAACGCGTGTCGCGGGATGTTGGCAGACATGTCGACCGAAGTCCGGCAACGTCGTGCTACTTCTCCCAACGTCTCTGGCGACACTTGTTGCACAACATTTGTTCCCTAGTGTAGCCTTGGTTAGTTGGTGTCATACCTTAACAGATGTTTCACCGAATTCTATGGTGCTTCTGGGTACTCTCCTATGGGCTGATGGTGACCACCGAGGTGCTTTTAGCCACGTGTGAATCCCACCATTTCTAATCTTTCTTCTCAAAAGACACCTTATTAAGATTTCATCACTATTTAAGTTACACTCAAAAATAAAGAGACACACACTACCTAAATTAACAGTTGACTCCAAGACAAAGATCTTATTAAATAAAAAAAAATACAGATTTGCATTTTCACAATTTTACTTTATTTTATTAAAATTAATTAATTAAATATCTGTTTATGTATACGTAAACAAAAATACGACTAAAAAATAAGACAAAATAGTGTAACAAAAAGAAATTAAAACTCTAATTCACCCAAAGAATTACAATCCAAGTTGGATTTATTGGTAAACGATTTCACATTTTTAAAATTCCAATTATATAAATAAACCTACATCTACATGAAACTGCGTCTTATTACAAGTGGCAAAGAGTTTTCATTTCGCTATCGTAGTGTGTCTGTGATGTTTTTACACCATGTAAGTTCATGAAACTTTTGCAAAATATACGCTACTTGTCTCTTAAAACACGTTCGATATATCTAATACCTAATATTTTGTATTGGACGATGTCTACTAAAATGTGAGATTATAATTGACTTAATAATTTACGCTTGATTGAAGTAAGTCCCTCCTCGCGTCGAATATTGAGTTCAGGAGTACGCGTCTGTTGAGAAAAAGAAAAGTGAAGTTGTAGGTACTTCGGCTGTATGAGTACGGTTACCGGAGGCCTAATTCTCCGAATCCCCCCTGAGCTTGACGTCTCTAGATAGCAATGCATTTGTACATACGTCTGGTGTTAACCTTTAATGTTATGGGTATTTCAGGGGTAACAATAATTCTTTACCATCCATCGTTTGTTATATAATCTCAGGAAAATAGTACCGTAAATAACAAAACACTTACCAATGGAGGAATGTACGTTTGTAAAGGAATATTTGAAATGAAGTAGCCCAGCTTTCCAAAACTCAAACCTCGGAGTTTTCTTGTCAGTATGATTTAGTTTATTGTTACCACTCTGCAGTTGATTGGAGTTTGACACCACGTTGCAATAACATTCAAACACAAGAATAATTGATAATAAGACCACCCATTTTCGGCGAGTGCAAAAATTTTGAAAGCTCTCCCTAATTTTCTTCTGAAATTGATCCGCAGCAAAGATCATGAGATGATGTATGCCCATGCGTTTCTCTTTGTGATCCATTGCTGATTGAAAATCCATGTTCTAAATGCAACTGTGGACAATTTTAATTTCTTATTTTCATTTTTTTTTTGCCGTATACCTATATGTTCTCACCTGTGTTCAAAACGGAAATATTTTCTAAATTATTTGACGTTTTAATGGTTTCTAAATAGCTGAAGTCAAGATCTAGTTTTCTATACAATAAAGTCTCAAAAATCGTGCGTGAATTACGCTCAGTACGAAGTGCATTCAACCAGATACATAGACCACCAACAACAAAATCAAAATAAAGACAAAAATTGCTGTAATTTAGATATAATAAGGCACACAATACTTACTTACATGGGTTTTATTGTCAGTTTAGAATACCAGAACTGCGCATGTTCAGCTCTATAGTACTCTAAACAACCCCAAACAAATGAGTCCATGTTTTCATTATAAATAGGTAGTCAAGTTTAAGGCTTTTGTAAAAGTATTTAAGCCTGTAAAGACTAAGTCAACTACTTATATTTGTTGTCCATTTTCCCCTACAATTTTAGTGACATCGTCAATAGCTCAGCCATGTATGGCCGGAGGATGGAATTAGATGGTCTATTTCCGTATCGTACCGGGTCTTGGACAGGACCCTAAAAAGTACCGAGAGTGAATCCCCGATACTATGAGACAGGCACAACACTGTCTAAGGCTGTACACCTTGATGATGTCCCAACTTCTTACGCGAATCATTTGATATTTTTGCGCTTATTTATTTAATTGAGAACAAAATAATTTTATTATATCTTTAGCTAATCCCTACTCGAACAAATTTCCTACTTCTGCCAACCAACTGACATATTTCTAATGTCAAGAATTATTCCTTTTTACAGAATATTTATTTACCTGCGTGTACCTTCATCCCCTAACCGTATACCTATACTCTTTTCAGCTTCATTCCTTTTTCGCGAATAGCAAGAATAGGTCTTTGTCTTGTCTTTGCCTAACATTGGCGCTATATAATCAACCTCCATGTTTTAAATATTTAATTTTCAGCGTGAATTATTCAGCGAAGATACCAAAACGTAAAAGGACAGGTAGGGATAGTAAAGTAAAATATCTAATGGTTTAACTCATTCAAAGTAACTAATGATAAAAACAGGAGTAATACAAAATTTAGACAATCTGGAAATGCCAATCTAATTTCAAGTCACTCATCATCATCATCATCATATCAGCCACAGGACGTCCACTGCTGAACATAGGCCTCCTCATAGTCACTCAATACCCACACTCATAAAGTTGTACACACAACTAAATCACTACCTATTGAAAGTTATGACTAAAAAAATGTGGAAAAAATATTACCTTTATGCAAAGGTAAAGGTAGGTAGATACCTACTTAGGTTGTTCATTTTCTATCGCTATAGGAATTATTTGACCTGATACCTGCCGCATCTTTTCGCCATCGACCCTGACGACAGCATATGCATTCCCATCATAATAGATGGTTGGCAGGCCACAACTGTGCGCTTCTCGCGTAGCTTTCTGCCTCGCACAGCAAAACTGTGGAATGATCTGTCGTCGGCGGTATTTCCGAACCGATATGACTTTCAAACCTTCAAGAAAAGAGCGTATCACTTTTTAAAAGGCCGGCAACGGACTTGTGATCCCTCTGGTATTGCGGGTGTCCATAAGCGGCGCTGATTGCTTACCATCCGGTGATCTGTCTGCTCGTTTATCTCTTATTCCATAAAGGAAAAAAAAGTAGCATCTTACTAGTAGAACAAGCCGACAAGCGTCGCGTCTTTTCGGTTCAAAAAGACGAAGTTCGAACCTCAACCGCCTATGTCAAACGATCCATAGACAAAATCACAGACGCAACAGAGTAATTGGAAATATCAATAAATATTTGAAATGCCATATTTACAAATATTTTTATTAAAATTATCTCTTTGTTCATTATAATCCTTAATATCATTACACATCAAATGTGGCATTTCGGTAACTTAGGAATAATTAGACAGTGCAGCCTGAAAGCTGTTCCTCTTCAGTTGGTTAAGGCAACCGTATCCAGTGACCAAAGAATCAGTGCTGCAAAGGGGTTTTCCTGGAACCCTCCCATTCCTAAATTCGCGATCGTTTTCTTAAGCAACGCTTTCGAGAATATTACCAAGCGAAACAGTATTTTGACCACCATGTACAACAGACACTAACGCTGGATTAACAAGTCCATTGCGACTTCAACTCTTACATCACAACATAGCCTTCCACAGACGCAGTAATGCGTTATCGGTTCCGTTTCATCCGTTTTACGCAGTACCGCTGCCTTTTTTTGCTCATCCTATTATTTATATTGAAGTGTTGCTTCGATCTGCTGGGAGACAGTAATACATCGAGAGCTAAAAACTTAAAGTATAATGTCGTTAACGACACGAAGGCAGGAATAGCTATCGAGAGTTATTACAAATATCCCTTGGAGAGTGGCTTCAAAGTCGCAATGGGTACGTAGCATGACATTGCATCGACTCCTAATGTAATCATCGGTTAGTGTTTTATAAAATTGTAATATTTGGTTTATTTTACAGATTTCTTCTATTACAACTCTTCATATCACTGGTTCATGGCGATGAAACCGCTGTTGAAAAATATTGGTGAGTACAAAATGGAAAATGTCTTCATATTATTTTTCTTTATATAACGTCACGCCTACCCTTTCCATAGTGGCACATAACATAATACCATGTTTACAATTTACCTTTTCTTTTGATGACGGGGAAACCTTCAAAGGCCGTCTAGGTTTTTGGGGATAAAAGACTAGGATGTGTGGGATTTTTACCTCACTAAATTCATCGCAGTAGCCACCTTCAACACATGTATGGAGGCACCGGGTCCTCTAAAAGAGACTTGCTCTGAAGGTATACAATTTAACTACACCACCTTTTCAACTCATGATCTCAACCACAAGACGTCTACTGCTGAACATACGCCTCCCCCAATAACCAACAGATAGGCCATATGAAATTTGTAGTTACCTAATTATATGATAAGAAAAATTGATATAGTGGTCATGTCTCTAATATGGGATAAGCCGGTATACAAGTAGACGGATCACCTGATGGTAAGCAATCAACGCCGCCCATGAACACCTAGAACACCAGAGGCGTTAAGTGCGTTGCTGGCCTTTTGGGGATTAGGAATTTGAGGATTGTTGGAGATACAAGGATTCGAAAGAATGGGGAAGGGAGAAGGGGGGGCTACCCCCTTTGGTAAGCTCACCCACACGACGAAACACAACGCAATGGTTGTTTCAGGTCGATTTATGGCTCTTTTCACCCGACTGTTTTTGTAATTGATAGGTCATCGTATTGATAGGTTTGGTCACTATCTCTCCTTCTGGTATTATATTATTGTGTCAGTGTGTGTGTATTATCTTGTATGATGGCTTTAAACCTTACCTACTTACTTATTCGTTTCTAAATTCTAACAATATTTGTTTTTTTAAGACGTAACCCAAGAGTATTCGGAAGAACAACTTTGCAACTTATGGCCATTGAGCAAAACTTTTGGTAAGTATCTTAAAAAAATCCTCTTTGTATTATTTATTTTTGTAATCCAAGTGAAATGCGAAAGTTAGTTTGTCTTCTTCTTCATTAAACTAGTTTGTGAATTTTTCTGTGCATATATTTGGGAGTTACGTTACTGAGAACGACCAAAAACAAATTCACGCCAGCAACGGGCAAAATCGACGTCGATCGTCGTTAAAACTGTATCGTTTGTAGTGTTTCGGAGTCGCGGAGAACCTAACGGGTAACCGGGGCTCCGGCTCGACGTGCAGGAGAAGGAACGGGGTGGTTTTTAGTCAGTAAGAGTCTGACACTCCCTCCCGCCTCACCCAGGCGGGAGCAGTCATTCGATGATTTTCCC